AAATGATTAGAATATATAAATTCTATTTATATGTGAATATGTGTATATATATATGCATGATTTTAAAAAACAAAATCACAAAGATTATCTTATAATGCAAAGTAACAGGCCCTTGCCCCACCCCACTCCTGTACTGGTGGCAACTCTTCATAACCATTGCTGTTTTCCTTTCTCTAGTGGCTACTTCCATATCTCTACGTAATATGCTATATACCTCGTTCCTAATTTACCAAATCTAGACATTGTTTATAGGTTTTCTACTATGACAAATGGGAATTTAGCTCATTTACACTCCCTTGCCCCCTCACTTCCACTCCCTTGCCCCCTCACTTCCACTCCTCTTGATACAGTTACATCATTCTTCTCAGTTCCTCCAGTGGTCAAACTTGTAACTTGAAAGAACATACTAAAACTTCCATGTTTTATTTCTTGACATGGGAAGCAGCTCAAATCCCCATTTTGTAATATTAACACCTCAGTGCTCTTACCCTTCCGCCTTGCACATTGTCCCTTTCTTCCACTTCCATACCTATGTCATCTTTAACTCTAGGGTAACAACAGCAAGGTTGATAATAGTTATGCTCTGTTCTGTAACCATTAACTAGTTCTGGAAGTTGGACACAATAAATTTCACCTTGATTATTGTGACTGTGTACATGTTGTTCAACGAATAGCCTTACTTTGCTAAGACTACATTTCGTTCCTTATTGGTCCAGTGTCATAACACCTGTGCTGCTTGGCGAAGAGTGCTTCTAGAATCCATTTCCAATGTTTTCCCCTTTTTTTACATTTTCTAAGTTTTACAATCATAAGACGTGTTGTAAATTGTTTTATGCTCACTTCTATTCTGTGATGCTCCTTTCTGCAGGAGGATTATACCGGTGAGGTCATGTTTGCTTTGGCCAGGGAAATGTGAGTGGATGTACCAATGTACTTACTTCTGAGTAAACTTTAAGAGCCAGCGTGTGTTCAACATGATTTCTTTTTTCATCTCCCAAGGCCATGTTTAGATAGTTTGTTCTGGAAACTGGATTCAAGATGACATAACATGAAGCAGAGCTGCAGTCAAGCCTCAAAGGACATGTGGCATGAGTGAGAAATAAACCTTTGTTGTTCCAAGCCATTGAGATTTGGGATCATGCTTACCAAAGCAAAGCCAAGTGATTTATGCCTGAAGTATTCCATTTTCCTGAAGATTCAGTCTCAGAAGCCTCTGTCCCCTGATTCCACATGCACTGACTGTTCTGTACGTGTCTAGACAGCTCTCACCCTGCCACTTCCCCCACTGCACTTCTTATGGCTGGACCCCAGATCCTCATTGTCCTATTTGGTCTCTTGTTTTTTTAGGGAACAGCCCTAAGTAACTTCCTAAGAAAGGACACATGAGAAGTAAACTTTGTGAGTCCATGTCTGGAAGTGTCTTTATGCTTCCTACATGATAAATTTTTTGGCTGAATAAATCAATTGACCTCAGAATTTTGAAGGCAATCACTCTGAGGATCCAATTTTGCTGTTGAACAGTCTGAAATTAGTTTGATTCTTGTTCCTTTCTAGGTGGTCTGTTTTTCTCTCTGCAAGTTTTAGTAGGAATTTCAAACTCATATGGCTACACGGAACAGGCCTGCAACAAACTATATTTAGTCTTTGTCTATGAGACATATGGAGAGTGAAAAGGGTTGCAGCGAATCAACAACGACAAGCCTATACGGTGGAGTACCTGCCTCTCAATTTCAGCTGATTGTTGCCATGGGAAAATGTGGGTCTACAGCTGCCAGATTTACCAAGATTGTAAGACAAACCTGAAATTTGTATTGTGTATAAAAATCAAGTGTATTTCAAACTGTGACAACTCATTCAAAACCTAATTTTAGAAACCTAGAGCTGGCCAAACAAACAGGTTTGAGGGCTCAGTCTCACCTGAAATCAGCCAGTTTGCTACCTCTATACTTAGGATTTTCCCTTTATCCTCAGTGCTCCAAAATTCCACAGAGATGTATTTACCGAGTTTCTTCTCCTTCAGTGCTGTAAAAATTTCTTGTGTTGTTTTCTTAATAATTTCCCTCCTCTTATTTCTCTGTTCTCTCTCTTAGACTCCTAACTAGACAGTAATGTTCATCTTCCCTGAATGATCCATTCAGCCTCTAACCAATTTTGTCACTCTGCCTTTTGTTCAATTTTCTGGGGTACTTCATCAACTTGTTTTTTTGATGAGGTTGAAAAAGTAGTGTAGCAGAACTGTTATGAGCAGGGGACTTAGATCCATAAATCCTGGGTTTGAATCATGGCTCTGCCGCCAAGGAGTGTGACCTTGGGCAAGATACTTATATTCTCTGTGCCTCAGTTTCCTCAACTGCTAAATGAACATAATAGTAGTACCTACATCTATTGTTTTCAGTTCTCTATTTCACTGATTTTTGCTCTTATGTCATTTTATTCATTCTGTTTGTTTTCAGTTTTCTATTTCAGTGATTTTTGCTCTTATGTCATTTTATTCATTGTTTGTTATCAGTTTAATTTGCTTATCTTTTTCTAGTTTCCTAAGGTAGAAGTTTAAATTATTAATTCAAAATCTTTCTTTTTTTTTATAACATAAGCACACAACACTATAAATTTCCCTGAAAGCACTACCTTTTCTACATCTCAAAAAGTACCTCATTTATACTTTGTATAATGCTACGTTTTCATTTTCACTCAGTTCAAATATTTTTTTATTTCCTTTGTGGTATACAACCTTTGTCCTTCTATATAATAAAGTAATTTTAAAGTAGCACCAAGCAAGAGTTATAAAAATTGGATATATCTTTTACACATATAGTTGTTTCATTACTATTTAAAACTTTTAAATCAAAAGCATTTAGTTGGTTAAGAATACAAAATTAGAGCTAGATTGGAAAAATAAGTTCTAGTGGTCTACAGTAGTGGTAGGCATTTATAATTAATAATAATTTTACTGCATGTTTTCAAATGGCTAGAAGAGAGTTCAAATGCTCTCATCACAAACAAATGATAACTTTTGGGGATGATGAGTATGCTAATTACCCTGATTTGATCATCACACATTGTATATACCTATTGAGATATAACTCTGTACCCCATAAATAAGTACAATACATATCAATTAAAAAATACATAAAAATAAATTAAATAAATAAAATGACAGTAAAAAAGTCTTTAAATCTTTTTGAAGGTATCAGAGAAACATCATGTAGATGGCTCGGCAAAAGGGAAAGAATACCAAAGGAATCAGTAATTGAACTCTCCTTAAGACTCTGACCTTGAACAAGTCATTTCACCACCTAGGATTAATTAGAGTCATTTAAGCAAAAAAAAAAAAATTTTAAGAAATAAACACACACACACACACACCTACCTCTCCCCAACAGAGGTGATAACTGGTGATGTTTTCACTGATGATCACATTAAGAACACTGAAATTTCTACCTTCTAGTATACAGATAATAAACAAATGTCAATTGATCAAAACTCAAATCAATTCAACAATGAATTGTGCTTCTATTATTAACTCAATCACAGAAGCATAATGTAACAGAGGTTGAAAGAAATATAAGAAAGTTCCTGCTCTTTTGCAGGATGTACTCCTTTCTGGATGAAAATAGTCCTATGTGATACGTTAACATATAATACAAAAATGAAGTGTATGAAATAATGAGACGATAAATGGTGCAACTTTAGACAAAGAAGAAATTGGTGTGGGCTGAAAAGGCCATGTAATGTTTGATGGAAGAGTTGGAACGGGAGGCAAGTCTTAAAGGATGGGCATGATTTGTCTAGACAGAATGGAGCAGTAGTACAGTCCGATGATGAAAACAACAAAGACCAATCACAACCTTATTTCTTCATACCTATTTTGCCTTTACAGCACCCCTGTGAAAGTAACTCAGGCAAGTGTTTTTACCAGCATTTTAAGATTAAAACAACAACATCCCTAAGGTCACATATCAGAACAGGTTTCCTTCTCACTGAATTCAAGTGAACCACCAACTGCTATCAATCAGAAGAGGAAATAAAATTCAGCAATCAAAAAGGATTAATGAGTTTTTGATGTAGTATCTGCTTGATAGGGTATTAAAAATATAATAATTAAAAAATTATTCAGGTTTTAAGGTTTAAAAGGTTCCAATATTGTCTTTAGAAAAAAAATTCTTAACCTGAGTAACTAAGCTCATTAATGTTTTCCAGATGTTAAGGAAACAAGGCAAGCAAATTAGACAAACAAGTAAAAATCAATAACCACCTTAAATATTCTGGGAATGAAGAAGAATGTATTTTTTAGAAGAAGAAAATAAAACTTTTTATTAATAAAAAAGAGGCAGAACACTGAAGGCAAAATCTAAACTCCTTAGGACCTGGACCTATGCTACTTCTTCCCCCTGATCTCCTAACAGCTGGGACCTTTCTCCCTATAATCTGGCTAAACTGGTCTTCATTGTTGTTTATTTTTTAAACACTCCAGCTTTCTAAATGCTCAGGATCTTTGAACATGCTGTTCCCTCAGACTGGAATACTGTTCCTCCAGAATCTCCTGGCTGGGCACCCTCTTTTCTTCTTCATATAAATCACTCTTCAACATTATTTCATTTTTTATTTATGGGCTGACTGCCCACCAAAATTTAAGCTCCATGAGAGAAGGAACTTAGTCTCTCTGTCACTGTTCACCCCAATGTCAATAATAGGACCTGGTACATAGTAGGTAGCCAACACTATTTCTTCAATAAATGAATAAGTCAAACTAGTGCTCTGACAGGAATAGAACTCAAGAATCACAACAACTGTTAACAAATTGTCATAATAAACTTCAGTGGAATGTTAAAATTCTCTGTTTCTGGATTTTATGGAAACGAATTTTATTTTAAATATTTCAAATATATTGGTAAAATAGCTCTTAGTACTATTTTCATTATTCAGAGATTTGAGATAAAAAAGAGATGTTTACAAGAAGGATTATATACATATCAAAAAATTAAATGGCATCATCAAAATCAAAGACCAACCTGCTGTTCGTATCGCTGTCTGACATCCTCTAGCTGCCATAAAAATTCCTTTGATTGTTTCTCACGAAGAGACTTGGATCTAGTTAGATCTGCTTCCACTTTTTCCATCTATAAAATTTTTAAATAAATATTAAATTTTAAACAAAAAATTATATTCCATGTTTTTGTAATTTGTCCATTTGTTAAAAATGACAGATTTTTAAATACTTCACCAAACATAATCATGAACTTAAAGGTGATATAATAATGAAACATATATCAATTTATTTTAATAAATTTTAATAATTTAAGAAGGATAGTTAAAACTGGTATGTAAAGTTATAACAACAATGTAGTGGAAATAATTTTGGATATTCAAATATTTGTCCAATAAGATTCTATTACGCTGTTGGTATGTGTTGAATGGGAGAAAAAATTTCCAAATCATACATCTACTAAAGGCCTATATCTAGAATATACAAAGAACTCTTACAACTTAATAATAAATGAGCAATTAAACCCAATTTTAAAATGGAAAAATAATCTAAATAGACATTTCTCCAAAGGAGATATACAAATGGCCAAAAAGCACATGAAAAGATGCTCCAAATCACTGTCATTAAGCAACTATAAATTAAAACAAAAATGACATACCACTTTATACCCACTAGGATGGCTAGAATCAAAAAGACAGATAATAGGGCCGACCCCGTGGCGCACTCGGGAGAGTGTGGCGCTGGGAGCGCAGCAGCGTTCCCACCGCGGGTTCGGATCCTATATAGGGATGACCGGTGCGCTCACAGCGCTCACTGGCTGAGCACCATGCGGCCGGTCTCAAAAAGGACAAAAAAAAAATACAGATAATAGCAAGTACTGATGAAGATGTGGAGAAATCAGAACCTTCAATAGTGCCTCTGGCAGTAAAATGGTATAGGCAGGCTGGAAGACAGTCTGGCAATTCTACAAATGGTTAGGCAAAGAGTTACCATGTGACCCAGGAATTCCACTCCTAGGTAAGAAATGAAAACATACATCCACACAAAAACTTGTATACAAATGTTCACAGTAGCGCTATTCATAATAGCCAAAAAGAAGAAACAACCCAAATGTCCATTAGTTGAGTTAAAGAAGAGGTAAACAAAATACTATTCAGCCATAAAAACGAATGAAGTACTAACATGTTACAACATGGAAGAACCTTGAAAGCATTATTCTAAATGTTGGAAAAAACCACATATTGAATTATTCCCTTTACATTAAATTTCTAGAACAAGTAAATCCACAGAAACAGAAAGTAGATTAGTGGTTGCTTAGGGTGAGACAGGAAGTTAGAGGAGTATTGTAAAAGGTATGGGGTTTCCTTTGGGGGAGATGAAAATTTTTAAAAATTTAATATGGTGATGGCTGCACAAGTTTGTGAATATACTAAAAATCACTGAATTGTACACTTACGAGTGAACTTTTGATATGTAAATTATATCTCGACAAAACTGTTATTTAAAAAAAAAGTAAAAGCCAAAGACTCTACCACATCTATGAGGCTTCACATGATCCTACCCCAGTTACCCGTCAGCTCATCTCTGCTAGTCTATCCCAGCCCCTCCTCCACTCCAGCATACCTGCCTGCGTGCTGAACCTACAACATGCCAGAAATGGACTCCCCTTGGGGTCTAGAAACTTCCCCCCAGATAGTCCCATGGCTCTTAAAGTCTTAATATTTTGCTTAAATGTCACCTTTGTATTGAGTCCTCTAAGAACATCTTATTCTAAATTTTAAATTGTAGTCTCCCCCCACCCCCCACTCCCGGCCCCGTCCACTTAGTCCCCCTTTCCATGATTTGCTGCTCTTTTGTTCCATAGGACACATCACCTTCAGGCTTGCTGTATAATTTAGTTCTTTATTAGAGCTGTTTTTAAAGGCTGTCTCAGCCACTGTGATGTAACCCCTTGTTAACAGATGTATACCAACCATTTAGCACAGTGCCTGGTACCTACAAAGACTCAATAAATACTAATCAAATTATAAACTAAATTTTCAACACTTAGTGCCAAATTATTTCACATATACAAAATAAATAAGTGTTGGATCTAACTTTTTCTATTATTTTGTATGTGCTTTTGTCAGATGCTCTTTTATATGTAAGAGGAAAGAGATGTTCTTACAAACAGTAATGAGAAAGCTCTCTACGTCTATAACGTGAAAATGGAGGCTTTTTTCAAAGAAGTGCAGTTATTTTATTTGTCTTTCTACCACTGCACATTTGGAAATATTAGGAAAATATTTTTTTCTGAGGCAATTGTCAGTTAATGTGAGAACCATTCTATCACTGGCTGCTTTATTTATTATTTTGCTTCACTGGTATATTGAGCTGCTACTTTTAAAAGAAGGAAATTCTGTCACTTGCAACACCACGGATGAACCTGGAAGACACTATGTCAAGTGAAATAAGCCAGGCATGGAAAGACAAAACTGCATAATCTTACTTATATGTGGAATCTAAAAACGTCAAACTCATAGAAGTAGAGAGTACAACGGTAGTTACCAGAGGCTGGTGGAAGGTGGGGAGATGCTATTCAAAAAGTATAAACTGTCAGTTAGACAAAAGGAACAAGTTCTAGTGAACTATTGCACAGCATGGTGATTACAGTTAAGAGTAACATATTATTACTAATAGTATATTTCAAAATTGATAAGTATATTTCAAATGTCTCACCACAAAAAGTGATGGACATGTTAATTAGCTTATTTTAATCATCCATATTGTATACATATATCAAAACATCTCATTATACTCCATATATATGATTATGATCTGTTAATTTTAAAATAATAATAAAATAAAAATTATTTTGTGTTTTAAAAATTCATAAGGATGAATGGAAGAGTATGCAAAAGTGAAAGGGGAAGAAAAAAGAGAAGGTAAATCAAGGAGAGTAGACCTGGTCTATTTAGTATTTTTAGGACATATTTTCATATGAAATTGATTTTTTTTTTACTTCAGCACATTTGAAATATTAAAAATAAGTAACAAAGTTTAAAATATTTAAAATATTACACACTTACATATTTAAAATAAAAATTAAGAGTTTCACATACTCAAAGTTGGTAAAAATAGAATAACATATCTAAAAACAGAATCATTGTCTGTAATTAAAATAGTTAGAGGCTAAGAAGAAAAGGCTGAAAGGAAACATCCTGCCAGTAGCACAGAAGGATTCATTTGACAGAAATCTGGAGAACACTTAGAGAAGATGATGGCTTAGAAAGCACTAGTTAAATGTGTGAAAAAAATGAATTATCTAGGAGGCTGGTATGGAGGGTTGACTTTGAGCTAAAGAAAGAAAAATACTTTAAAATAAAGAAATACAGCAGAAACAAACAAAAAGAGCAAAATATGAAAAGGCCTTAGAAATATTCCCTGGATGGGCCGGCCCGTGGCTCACTCGGGAGAGTGCGGTGCTGATAACACCAAGGCCCCGGGTTCGGATCCCATATACAGATGGCCGGTTCGCTCACTGGCTGAGCGTGGTGCTGACAACACCAAGTCAAGGGTTAAGATCCCCTTACCGGTCATCTTTTAAAAAAATAAAATAAAATAAAATAAAATAGAAAACAATTTAAAACACATGAGAGTGCTTTTATACCTAAAAATTAAGAAAAATTCAAAGTAAAAAACAATTGATATCATAAGAAAATGAAAGACATACTATTTTAGATTGTACTGACCGAAAATGCCAGACCCCACTCCATTCTCCTTCTACAATTTAGCAAAAGCTAAAAAAGCAAGTCATAAAGTAGCTAAACTTTGGATAAAAACACAGGGTTCTCAGTTGCCATAGATGCAAAAGATTCTACTCCATCAGACATCATTCCATATTCCATTTGACTTCAAGTAAAACGAAAAAGAAGAAGCCAAGTCCTTTATTGTGGAACTCAGGTTTTAAGGAAACCTAAGAGTAAAACTTGGTAGCCCAATAAGGAGCAGAAAAGGGCTTAGGTGCATTTCTGTGACTGTTTAGTATTTAAAGAAGCAAAAAAGAAAGGTAATGAAGGGTGTCAGATCTTCCTGACATGATGACTCAGGCATTACTTTTTGTTCCACGTAAGAGAAAAGAGAAGTATCCACAGCTTAAACAACATAGGTCTTTATTTTTTTCCTCATGTTACAAAAAGTTCAGAAGTAGGCTGCTACATCAACAGCTCAAAGATGTCAAGGTTAAGGTTACTGCAATTCAACCTCCCCCCAATAGTTGCAAAATGACTTCTTCAGCATTGAACATCTGGGAAGGGCAGCACAAAGGGTGAAGGGTAAAGGGATAAGGGCAAAGGGTACCTATTAGCTGAGTTGAATCTTTTTTATTTCCTGCAAGTTCCTTCCAAGAGCAAATTAATTATCCTGTTTTGCATCTCAACCTGTACATTAAATGTCCTTGCTTTATATGAAAGGTAAGAGTCTGTAGTTTCAAAACTGTCTCATGTTGCCCTAAATGAGAGTTTTATTAGCAAGAAAGTATGAACGTATATTGTGTGAACATTTGGCAGTGTTTGTCAAATACAGTCATGATAAATTATTGCTCTTTTTCTCTAGTAAAGTACTATTGTTTTGCTACATTCAAATAATCTGACATATACAATTCGTATTATACAATTATACAATTGTACACAAATATAAAATTCAAAATATTTTATTGTACTTAATATATATTTACATAAACTATAACAAATAACCCTCCAAATATTTTCTCATATACTCATATACTGAAATACAGACAGATACACAGATAGATACTTATATATATAGATACACGGAGATAGATAGGCAGGCTAGTAGATAGATACAAATGGCAGAAAGACAGATAAACAAATATTTCTGCGCCTGGCTAAAAACCCAGTAGGAACCAATGTCCTCAACAAGGAAAATCAATTCACGCATTAATTAATCATATCTGTAGTTCATTTGTGAGAGAGAATCATTAATTGATAGAATGACAATATATCTTGTATAAAGGTTAGTGTAGGGAAAGACTGGTATGAAATGAAAGAGATATGAAATGTAGAAATATTTCTAGAAACATAAATACATTATAATTTACTAACACCATAAGAGAGTTTACCTAAATTAAATAAA